AGCCCCTTCGCCACGACAAGGCAGTGATCCATGAAGGGGTCCACAAGAATAATAGAATAATAGAATAATAGAATAATAGAAGTTAATACCCAAAGGTTACCAGGAGTGAAATTCAGATCAACCTAATTAATTGACTATTCCTCATTGCTTCTACATCCTTCTCTTTAATCTCTATATGCATCTTTTTAAATCTGGACTAATCATAGAACTTTCCAGCCATGTGCTTCTTTCGCTATCTCCCATATTTCCTCCTTTGGGATTGATTATGACAATCACCTTCAGTATTCTCTTCTCAGAATGTTATTACCCTCTTGAGAATTGGAGGATGGAGTATTATGTATACTATCTTGAGCATCTCTCCCTCTCTCTCAAATGTGTATGCTGCCATATTTTCTAGTTCCACAGTGGCTTACAACCTAAATATAAATATTAAAATACAAAACATTTTCCCACACCTATGATGCGTATGTAGTTTGTATTTTATGTTTTTAGCAGGCATCACCCTTCATCTTCCCTAAATAACCTGTCCTGAAATGAGTAGCAACAGTAGGAAGTATAAAGGAACAAAATAAAACTTCATAAAGCAAGTGATTAAAAGTTGATCAACATGCATACAAAAGCATTTGGAGATCTGAAGTAAGATGTCATCAGCACAGTGATGACACCGAACTCTCTGCATCATCTCAAAAAACAGAACATAGAACATAGCTCTCAAGAAATATCCAGATGCAGCAGTGAATTTCACTTAGGGATAATAAATCAAAACTGCATCCCAACAAGATGGAAGCACTGTGAGCAGGAAGAGGGAGATTGCCCAATTTCTGCATGTTATTCACACTGTGAGGAAACATTAAGTCCAGCACACATGACCCTTTTGGGGTTGGAAAAGAGGAAATGGAATCTTTTGAAAAGCATCATTTTTCCCACATACCTCAAGAACCTCCTTAAACTCTTTTCTTTCCTATTCTGCCAAATGTATGTACATATAATCTGTAATCTAATAATGCATCTATAAGCTATAATCCACATATGCAAATCAAGACCAGATAAAATCTGAAGAGCACTCAGTACCTCTTCCCTCTTCTGTCCAGCTTTTTTTTGGTTTTCCTGAATGCAGTATTGGCGTGCTAAAATAGCTTCCTCATAGCTTAGCTTTCCTTGTAGTTTCCTGCACTCTGCTTCTGTCAGCTGTTGGTCCAAATCTTTCCCACGCATTTGTTTTTGCCATTCCAGAAACTTTGATGGATCCCGTGCTCCTTGGAGAAGATGTTCAATTCTATAATAAAAATTAAAATAGGTTATTTGAAGGGAGGGCTGGAGACAGTACAATTCCCACATTGTCGTCTTATGCGAAGGCTAGAGTATTGATGGTAGAGATGTGGGGGCCTTTGGTCTCTGTCTCAGCTCCACTCTGCCTCTTGTTTCCCTGGCATTTCCAGCCCTTTTCCTAGACAAATCCCAACCAAACACCCAAAGGGTAACCTGACTCCTAGGGGAGATGTCTCCACCTCTTTTAGATTGAGGAATAAGCTTTTTTCCTATGAGTAAGCCACTTCTAAGTGAGGAAACCCAATAACTGAGCCTTGTCACACATAGTTCTTAAACAGGACTGTTTAACAGGAAACAGTTTTGACAACACTGTAGAATGTTGCCAGGAGCATGTGGTTAAAAATTGTGATAATAAATTAATTAATTGGATGCAATATGAATTAAAAAAAATCCTTGGAAAAAATCCACCAAAGCTAACAATTTCCAAATTACTGTCCTTGACTTGACCTCTTATTTAAAAGTACTTTTTCACTCAGAGCTGAACCTGCTGTTTTTTCCTCCAACAACCCAACAAACTGTTTTCTGCCACCAAAAGTCCAGTCATCCTATCAGACTCCCCTCAGTGATTCCTCCTCTGTTCCAGATGAAGAGAGAAGGTTAATGTTTAAGAGTAAGAGTATTCATAAAACAAAAAAAATGTGCTTTGTACTTGAAACAAAAAATAGCATTCTGGAAATTCAGGCTGCCCACAATCTGCACGAAACAAAATCAGGAACAATTTGTTCTATATTTAAACAAAACAAAAATCCAAGTTTTGGATGTTTTGAACAAGAAAACAATGGATTCAGAACAAACTTCTTTGGTCTCAAAAATGGACAACCACTAGACAGGAGCAAAATCACAGAAAACTCCAATTCTTTGCTACCATCTAGTAATTACACAGATTGTGCAGCCATTTTTCATCAAAACTATAGAATATTTTAAAATCCTGCTAACTGTGGCACAAAAATGGCTCACTAACTCTTTTTTTAAGGGGGACGCGGTGGCGCAGCGGCTTAATGACGCTGAAAGTT